TGTATCAGGGATTATTGAACTCATGACCTCGCGCTTGGCAGGCAGGTCTTACACCACTGAACTAAGTCCCCAGCCCCTAGGTTGGGGTTTTTTGTTTGTGTTCTCTTTTTGACACACAGAGTCTCACTATGTAGTTCAGATTGATCTTGAACTCACTATTGTAAGAAACTGCGGCTGCCTTTTCTGTAAAAGGTTAAAACAGGAGCGCCTCTGTTTCAGATTGTAGTCCAGTCCAAGCAGCCCCTCCACAAAGCACTGAAATTATAGGAAACGCCTGTTCCGTACAAATTCTAGAAACACAGCCGGCTTTATAGCACAGTGGCACAGCACCTGCTTGGCAAGTGTAAGGTCCTGAGTTCGATTCCCCATACCAAAAAAAAAAAAAAAAAATTCTGGAAACACAGCTACAGAGCAAGACAGGTTATCAATAGCCAAGGACCTTCCATTCCCTCCCTTAGCAACCCAGCCCAGCAACTCATCAGTCCCACTCTTTCACTGCTCAAATTAGCCAATCAAGAGAGACTATGAACTTTATACTCAGCCAATGGGGGAAAAGGCCAGCTGCTTCCCAGGCCTTGAGGTTTAAAACCCCTTCCTCCCGGAGCTTGGCGCTGCCTTGTGTCTGAGGGTGTAGGTGCTCTCCTGCAGAAGTAAACTTTAAACTTTGCCTTGTCCAGTCCTTCCTGTTCTTTGCTGTGTGAATGCATTCTTCCTGGCATTGCAATTGAGTCTGTAGGCTCATTGCTAACACTATATAGCTCAGGCCGGCCTCAAACTCATCACTTATCTTTGTGCCTTAACCTCCTGAGTATTGGGATTACAGGTATGCACCACCTCTCTTCTAGCTGTCGTGGTTTTTAAAAACCTTTTTGTGGTTATCTTGTCAGAATCCAGGCAGTCCTTGAATTCACAATCCTTCTACTTCAGCTTCCAGAGTGCTAGGATTACAGGTGTGCACCTATGCCTGGCCAAGATTTCTGTTTTTATAGCCACCTAGCTTGCAGTAATTGGTCACAGCAGTCCTGATAAGTAAACACAGTCATAATGACCACATCACAGGATGAATTTTGAAAACCTTACTCTCCTTTTAGAGACACAAAGCGAATTCAGTGCTCTCACCCTATTATCAAAGTAGTAAAGCCCTCAAAGCTCTCCAAGTTGCCATACACCTTAATCTGCTGTAAAATAGTGGCCTGGTTTCCGGGTGTGGCGGTGCACACTTGTAATCTTCAGGAGGCTGAGTCAAGAGGATTGCCACAAGTTTGAGGCCAACCTGAACTAGATGGTGAGACCCTGTCTAAAAATAACCACCAAACAAATAAAACAGAGTAAAATGGTGACCTGGGTGTATGGAAAGAAGCTGGATTTTGTCAGTCTTTTTTTTTTTTTGAACCAGGGTTCAAACTCATGACCTCATGTTTGTCAGGCAAGCACTTACCCCACTGAGCTAAATCCCTAGCCCTAAGAAGCTGGATTTTGGAGGATGAAGCTTACCTCTTATTTATTTATTTGTATCTGGGATCAAATTTACAACCTCTGAGGTAAATCCCTGGCCATGAGGCTTATCTCTGTAGTAGTACTTTCCCACCCCCAGAGTTAAGGGGAAGGAATTGTTTAGGGTCTTTAAGATTCGAGGTAAGTTCTGAGCATTTTAACACTTTAGGAAGACCCTGTCTCAAAGGCTAGGAATGTAGCTCAGTACAAAGACCCTGCATTGCATAACCAGTACCATACACCATACACACACACAACAGAAACAGGGAATGACAGTATACACTGTAATAAAAGTTTATAAACGAGAGGCATGACGGGCATGCCTGTAACCCCAGCATTTGAAACACTGAGGCAGACAGATCTCTGTGAACTCCAGGCTGGGCTGAGTTTCATCAGCCAGATCAGGGATAACCTGATGAGACGCTGTCTCAAAAAGACTAAAACAAACACTTTTATGAATGTACTCTCACAAACCATCTGTTTTTTTTTTGTATTAGAGATTGAACTCATGACCTTGTGCTTGCTGGGCAGGTGCTTATACCTCTAAATCCCCAGCCCTCACAAACCATCTTGTACTATCCTCACTTTTCATTTTGTGCTAATGTGAGAAGAAATGTGGCGAATGGATGTAGCTCAATGGTAGAGCACTCATCTAGAATGTGTGAGGCCCTGGGTTTGATCTTCAGGTCTGCAACAAAAAAAGAAAGTGAAGTATTAGATTACTACTGATCTTCTATATAGGGTTTGTTTTGTTTTGTTTTTGTAGAGACAGGGTCCTTCTGTGTAGTCCAAAGAGGCCTTGAACTCACCATAGAGACCAGACACGGCAAGCTTTCTGCTCTATCCCCTTAAGCAGTACTGTGATCATAGGTATATGTCACCACACCCAGCCTGTTAACCTTCTGACATCTTGCCAAAGAGTATTCGTCTCAGGTACCATGATGACCTTGACCTTCTGCCACAGTGTTGGAAAGAATACCCTGCTTCAGCAAGAGGGGGTTGGTGGTTTGATGTCATTCTGAAATTGATTGCATGAAACTGCAACTATGGAAAATGAAACTGTAGGTGGGGGCTATTGTATTTTGTGGTAAAAGTGAACCTTTCCTAAATCCTTAAGTCCACGAGGACAGCTCACAACTTTTTGTTTTTTTCAAATGGGATCTTGCCAGGCATGGTGGTGCATACCTGTAATCAAGCACTGAGGAGGCTGAGGCAGGAGGCTCTGAGTTCAAGACCAGCCTGAACTATATATATAGCAAGATCTTATCTCAAACAAACAAACAAACAAAAACTTGGGATCTTGCTATGTTGCCTAGGCTGCTCTTGAATGCCTGGGCTCAAGTGACTCTCCTGCCTTAGCCCCAAGTGCTGGGATTACAGATGTGTGCCACCAGACCCAGCCTTTTGGAAATTTTTGAAATTGTTTATCTATTTTTTCGCCCTCAAAAAGTTTTGTTTGGTCTTTTCCATTCTTTCTGCTTGCAACACTTAGACATGGTGTGGATTGCCTGTGTGATGGCTGGCATTACAGAAGCCATATCAGAAACATCAGCAAAGGCTAACAGTGATTGCCTGCTTGAGCGAGTGCTGGGCTGCCGACCTGTAGTTCCCTTGTTAGGAAGGAGAAGTGGCCTCTGACTAAAGCTTCTGGGAACCAAATTTTCTATGCAGCAAAATTATTCCTAACTAATGCCATTGATAGGGTAAAAAGCAGAGAAAAAAGGAAGTCAGGTCTTAGCTCCTGACTTAGAATGGTAAAATACAAATAGAAACTTGGTATCAGGTAGGCTTTAGTGGTGCACACCAGTAATTTCAGCATTTGAGAGGCTGAAGCAGGAGGATTACTGCAAGTTTGCGACTGTCCTGGGATACATAGTGAGTTCAAAGCCAGTCTGAACTATATAGAGAGATCCTGTCTCCAAACAAACCACAAGTCAACATCCCTCTCATGTTTGTCATTATTTTAGGCATGCGCTGAAGTGTATTTACTTGTGACTCTAAAGACTTTTCATATTCTTTAATAACCCAAACAGGTTTTCAAGGTTGTATTATAAATTTCCTGCCTCATTTTCTTCCTTTTTTTTTTTTGTACCGGGGATGGAACTCATGACCTCACTTCTCACTCTTGTCAGGCAGGCACCAACACCACTGAGCTAAATCTCTGGCCCCATTTTCTTCCTTTCTTCTGCCTTTTTTCTTTTTTCCAGTACTGATGATTGAACCGTTGGCCTTTTCACTGAGCTACATGCCCAGCCATTTTTTATGTCGAGACCAGGTCTTGCTAAATTACCCAGGTGATCCTCCTGCCTCAGCCTTCCAGTGTGCTGGGGTTACAGAATGTATCATCTTGCCTGGTTTGCTCTTTTTGCCCTGCCCTGCCCTTTTCTTTCCTTCCCTTTCTTTTCCTCTTTCTTTCTCTTCTTTGCTTCCTCTCGGACCTTCATCTTTCTCTTTCTCTTTTTTCTCTGTGATACTGATTGAACCTAGAGCTTCAAGATGCTAGGTTCAAGTCTAGTGCTGAGCCTTATCCTTGTCCCTACTTCATTTTCTTTTACCCTATTTATTATTATTATTATTATTATTATTATTATTATTACTACGTATGTTTGTTTTGAGACAGTCTTGCTATGCAGTTCAAGCTGGACTTGAAATCACTATGTAGCCCAGGCAGGTCTCAAATTTGTGGCAAACCTCCTGTCTCAGCCTCCCAGAATGCTGGAATGACAAGAGTGTGCCACCACATCCAATCGTTTACAAATCTACTTTGTGTCAGTCCCTGCGCCCAGTGCCTTCTAGACGGTGATGGACAGGGATGGCAGAAAGGTAACTGATATTTTATTTCTGCTGGATGGATCGCCACACTAGGTAGCCCACTGGAGAATGCAGATGTAAATTTTATTTTTATTAATTTTTGTGTGTGTGGTACTGAGAATCAAACTTCGGGATGTCACACTTCTTTTTTTTTTTTTTTTTTTTTTTTTTTTGAGACAGGATCGCACTGGCTGGTCTTAGGCGCACTTTGTAGCTCAGGCTGGTTGGAACTCACAAGGATTCTCATGCCTCAGCCTCCCAAGTGCTGGAATTACAGGCGTGAGCCCCGCACCCGGCTGGTTCTTGCCCAAGATTTTTATTTTGTTAGGAGCTGCAGGAAACATAGTAGCATACAGGGGTACTAAATCTAAAAGAAAAGAAACCCAAACTTTGCTACCAGACAGTTGGGTCTGGTAGCAAAGCTTATGAAGCTGAAATTCGAAAAGCCTATCACCTGACCAGACTGACGCTACCCTTGGGAACTGGAATGGGCCAGGGAGCAGAGAGAAGGAGGCATCCGAGGTCGCAAAGAGAATGCGGAGAGCAATCAGCAACCCGGTAGCCAACCCAGAAGCAGAGGAGCACTCCGGCAGGGGGAGAGGGCTTGTGCGGTTGCGCGGACCGCCCTCAGGGGGCGGAACCCGGGTGGGCGGAGCGCAGGGATCCTGCGCCTGCGCACTGGGATAGGCGAGGTGGGGGAGGGCGGCCGTGTGTGTCTGTGTTGTTGTTCGGCGGCGGCGGCGGCTGCGGCGGCGGCAGCAGTGGCGGCGGCGGCAAGATGGCTGCCCACGGGGGCTCCGCGTCGGCGGCGTCGGCGCTGAAGGGGTTAATCCAGCAGTTCACTGCCATCACCGGTGAGCGATGCGGTTACCGGAAGGTGGAAAGTGGGATCCCAGAGCTGGCGGTGGGACTGCCCCCGGCTTCGCCTGCCCCGGTGCGCGCCTCCCTCGGGCTTCCCCCGCGGCTAGCGTCCTCTCTTCTGAGGAAGCGGCGTCGGCGCCGGGGTCTCGGGTTCGGCCGAGAGTCAGCGCCCGTGGCGTCCCCTATCCCTTTATTTGGTCTCCTGGCAGTTTGGAGCGAGACCCTCACGCCCCCTGCCAGCCTTTGAGCCGGGACTGGGCCGAGCCCGGGTCCTCACCGCCGGCCGGGGACCTGGGTGGAGGGTGGGGGGCCGCGCCCGGGCCACCGCCCTCCTCTTCGTCCCCTCCTTCTCCTGTTCCCGGGGCAGAGAGAGAGGGGCTGTGGGGCTCCCCTGCTCCCCTGTCCTTATTTTTCTCCCCCCGCCAGGTCACCCGCCTCAGTCCCGAGCCCGCCAGTCCCTTTGGGGGGCCCCTGGAGCCCTCGCGGTTGTTCCGGAGGCTTAGGGCCCGATCGGCGGCGCGGTAGGGTCGCCAGCGCCTTTGCACACCCGAGTGACCAGCCGCCAGAAACGCGGTGCCCTGGAGAAGCTTGGGGGACTGAGGGTGTGGGAGAAGAATGAGCGGGAACCCCCCAAGCTTCCGCGGGGAAGGCCTGGTGGAACCCTCTGTGGCGTTTCCCACCTCCCCATCATAAAACCCTCAAGACCGAGACGATGGCGCCATAGCCTCCTGCTGATAAAATAGGGATGGCGGCAGAAACTTCTCTGAGCGAGATTCGTTTTGGGGGCTCGGTATCCCCCCAAAACATTAGGTCTGGGTTTCCTTTTTCTTTTTCTTTTTTTTTTTTAGTACCCAAGAAGGGTATACGCAGATCTTCTAACTGCCTAGAGGAAAGGCCTTGAGCCATTCTGTAAATTCTGTGTCAGTTTCTCTCTGATGGTGCTGAACTTTTTTTGCATGAGTTATTAGAGGGCGGAGCAAATGATGGAGTTCTCTGTGGAGTGATTTGAGAGAAAAGTACTCCATGTGCTTGAGTGTAATTTTGACGTTCTAGTTTGTCGTTTTGGAAGGAGGTCAGAATTGAGTTCCATCCTCTTAACGGATCTATACTTCACTGGTAGTTTGGATAAATGCAGACCAAATAGGACTCCCCTGTTCTTAGAGTTTGACTTGCAAGATATGATTGGGTACAATTTTGCATTCTTTTAACGAATATAGGTTGTATGCAAGTTGCAGTTTTTTTAAAGTTAATTATTTTTCTCTACAATGCTGATTTGATGTTGAATGTCTCATGGCATGAAACATGACCCCTTGAAGTTGGTAAAATAAAGTGTCATAAAACTGGAGTGAGAAATGGAATGCTTAACTTTGCGTGATATCTTGAAACTTCATGATTAGCTTATTATATTAAAGATGTGAATTTTTTTTTTTTTTTTTTTTTTTTTTGAGACAGGGTCTCTAAGCAGTTTGGGCTGGCCTTGAGCTCACTCTGCAGCCCAAGCTGATCTGGAACTCAAAACCATCCTCCTGCCTCAGCCCCTCTGAGTGCTGGGATTATAGGCGTTAGCCACCATGCCAGGCTTTCTGAATTTCTTAATGTCTGACCAAATCATCATTATGGAAGAAAATTAGGTTATTGTGTATGTAAATTAATATTGCTACGTTATGTTTATATGGGAAATCTTTGAGGTGAATCACATAGAAAAATGAGTACCATTAATCCTTTCTTTTACATTTCCTAGAGATTTAAGGTGACATGTGAATTGTTATGTGAATTACTTTACCTAAGAAACGACACTATTTTTAGGTGCTGGGAATTGAACTCAGGACCTCGCACAGCCAGGCAGTGCTGTGCAGTTGATATATATCTATATCTATCTATCTATCTATATATATATATTTTTTTTTGACATGCTGGGGTTTAACTCCAGGTTATCGAGAATGCTTTTACCTCATAGCCACCTCCTTAGCCATGTTGTGAATTTATGTTGATAAGTTTTGGTAATAAGGGACTGGGGATTTAGCTTAGTGACATAAGTGCCTGCCTGGCAAGCACGAGGTCATGAATTCGATCCCCAGTACCGCAAAAAAAAGAAAAAAGTTTTGGTAATACACAAGTCTTTAGCTATGTGGAAAGCTAAGACAGGAAGAACTCTTTTTTTTTTTTTTTTAATTTGATTTTTTTGAAACAGAGTCTAGCCATGTAGTCTAGATTGGCTTTGAACTCAGTATGTATCCCAGGCTGCCCTCAAACTGCCACCTATACTCCAGCCTCAGTCTCTCTCTTTTTTTTTTTTGGTCTTTTTCATTTTTATCAGTACCAGGGATCGAACTCACGACTGCCTGCTTGCAAGGCAGGCGCTTATGCCGCTAAGCTAAATCCCCAGCCCCCGCAGCCTCAGTCTCTTGAGTGCTGGGATTACAGGAGTGCACCATGCCAGGCAACGAGGAGAACTCTTTTAGCCTTGTTGCCTGAGGCCAGTAGAGGCAACATTAAAAAAAAAAAAAGAAGAAGAATCATGAATGATATTTTAAAGCCTTTTTTCACATATCTGAAAAAGATTTTGGAATGGGGCATGGTGACTGATGCTTGTAATTCCAGCACTCCATAGGCTGCGGCTGGAGGATCACTTTGAGTGTAGCCAGAGCCTGTCTCAAAAGATTTTGGGAGTTTATCTAAAATAATGATTCTTCCCTATGTGATTTAAATTGTAGGTTAATGATTAAAAGATATTTGATATCTATTAGTTGTTGGATTAATTAGATTGACCTTAAGAGTTTATGATTTGGGGGCTGGGGATTTAGTTCAGCGGCATAAGCGCCTGCCTTGCAAGCAAGTAGTCATGAGTTCGATCCCCGGTACTGATAAAAAGGAAAAAGACAAAAAAAAAAAAAAAAAAAAAAAAGAGTTTATGATCTGATTTCTAGTTTTTACTTTTACTGTATCTGGAAGCTCATTACTGTGGTAAATGCAAATACATGTTCACAGATGTGAGTCTTAAATATATATATAATTCCAGCTAGTTGGGAGGCTGAGGCAGGAGGATCAAAAATTTGAGACCAGCTTGGATCATGTAGTGAGGCTCTGACTCAAAAAGTCTGGGGATGTAGCTCAGTGTTCCCCGGATTCAATCCTTAGTACAATACTTTAAAGCAGAAGATACCCCCCCACAAAAAAGTGAATCTTAACATATTCTGTAGAATTTAGAAATAGAAGGGAAAAGTGAATGATTTTAAGTAAACCTAGTTCTCAATAAATACAATATATATTCAGTGAATATACAGTAAATGTAATGACTGATTTTGAAAACTTACTTAAAATATGACAATATGAAATAATTTTGAAAAATTAATTCGCTCTGACAAAGCAGTATTTTACATATTGTCTTTTTTTATTTTTTTATTTTTTTTGTCTTTTTCCTTTTTATCGGTACCAGCGATCGAACTCACGACTGCCTGCTTGCAAGGCAGGCACTTATGCCGCTGAGCTAAATCCCCAGGCGCCCCCCCCCCCCCTTTTTGGTGTCAGAGATCGAATTCATGACCTTGTACTCCCCCCCCCTTTTTTTTTTTTTGGTGTCAGAGATCAAATTCATGACCTTGCATTTGCCAGGCAGGCCCTCAAGCCACTGAGCTAAATCTACAGCCCCCATATTGTCTTCTAATTCTTTTTTTTTGAGACAGAGTCTCACTGTGTAGCTGAGGCTGGTCTTGAACTTGTGGCGATCTGCCTGCTTCAGCCTCCTGAGTCTTGGAGTTATAGGCGTGTGCCTTTATGTCTGGCTGTATATTTATTTTTATCTTTTGGATCATGGTATATATAATATAGAATTTTGAATCTTTCAGTTAATCTTACATCATAATTATTTTTTCCATGATCAAACTCTTGATGAGCAAGTGGCAAGAAAGTGATGTTCTGTGATGTAATCATATCAGAAGCTACTTTTACTATGCATGCCTTACAATTATCAAAGATGTTCCAATTATCTAAGGTATTGGAATGCCTGAGAAGACCAGTGCTCTCACTTTCAAGTCATCACACATATGTGCTCACTTGATGTGATCTTTGATGTTCATCAGACATGGCATTGAATGTTGGCTGCTTTCAGAAGCTATTTCAGTTCTCAAAACAGGAAGAAAGAATGCTGATAGATCTATTCCACAAAAACAACTTTGAAAAATGTTTTGAGCTTGGCCGTATCCCTTTAACCAATTTTGATCTGACACCTGGCCACTCACATGGCATGTATACATAAAAATCAGACTTAATTCATGGGGTGAATGTGGGAGTGTCTTAGTGCTGTAATTATAGTTGTGCACCATAACTCCCAGCTATTTCGAAATTTTGAGAACTATTTTTTTTTTTTTTTTGTCCTTTTCATTTTTACCGGTACCAGGGATTGAACGCACGACTGCCTGCTTGGAAGGCAAGAGAACTATTTCAAAAGAACAAAATTTGAAGAAAAAAAAAAAAAAAAAAGAATGAAATTTGAGAAGAAACTTAAAGGAGATGAGTTTTTTGAGTTGTGAATGACCTCATATTAAGAAATGCAATATTTATTGATATGCTATTGGATGCCAGGCATAATTCAGATCTTCAGGGTACAAGAGACATCAGGCAGAACATGATGTTATTGGCAGAAAGGCGTACCAGTTAGCCAGGTATAGTTGTACCTACATTCAATCCCAGTTTCTCAAAAGGGTGATGCAGGTTGCAAGTTCCAGGCCAGCCTGGGGAATTTAGAAAGACCCTGTCTTAAAAAAAAAGAAAAAGAAAAATTGGTCAGAGATGTAGCTCAGTGGTAGGCAAGTGCTCTTATCACTGAATTACATCCTCACCCCCCCCCCTTTTTTTTTAAAATAAATTGCCTAGGCTTTGCTTGAAATTTGGGATCCTCCTGCCTTTGTGTTCCAGGTGCTGGGATTGCAGGCATTTGCCAGAACTAGCACTTAACAAGTTTATCTGACCAGTCTCCAGGCTGTTGGTGTTTATA